TATTGATTCAATAAGTTTAATATCAATATATTTATTGAAAAATAGCTATTATGTCAAAATAAGAAAACTTAAGATTCTCACGCGAATAGGCAATGTTTTTATGAGCGACTGTTCATCGTTAGTTGCAAACGACGGTGATATAAACAAGGTCAAGGTTTTATCGAAAGCGATTGACTGTTAGATTTCCTTTTATACTATTTTATAACTAAATAATGTTATTTCCTACAAATTTAGCTTTATTGTAGCTTTATCGAAAGTATAAAAAAAAAACATGGAAACGGCGATCGGAATTACTATAGATTGAAAATAATTATTAAACTATGATTGAAATTATCGACGTAGAATACTATTTCGTTGTATTAAATTTCAATAGTATAATGAGAATTGTGTTTGATATTTTAATATATTTCACGTTATTTACAAAATGTACTGTAGTTTTGAAGTTTTGCACACAATATAGTATATATTGAGCATATATAAAAAAATGAGTATTTTGATAGCGTAGCCAGGCTTCACGATATAAATATTAAAAACGACTGATAAATAATCATTCATTTTAAGATTAATATTTTATTGCGAGCACAACTGCTCCAGAATCACAACAAATAACAGAATATAAGGAAAATTAAAACCAGCAAAGCTTTATCTACCTTGATCTATTTTTAAAGGCGCTCAATTATGTAAATTTTCCGCGAACACTCAAACATTTTTCTTTGCCTTTCCTCGAGCATGAGTGATGAAATGCTCGTCGGAAAAACTCGGTATTTGTCGTATTTTACGAATTTTCCACGTGACCGGTACGCTCACCAATGAAAGTTGTATGCCATATATGGCATGCAACAAAAAATTAGTTAGGCCAGCAATTTGGCCCGCGGCCCGCAATTGTTTTAACCCGCAGCCCGCAAAAACTGACCCGCGGCCCGCAAAATAGCTAGACCCACATTTTAGTACCTGCCTCGTCCCCAGGCGCTAACGATTTCACATATGAATCACTAAATAAAAGGTTTACATGAAGTAGTGCATCGCGACGAACAAGCGCTCATATCCCACTCCCCTGAAATTTTGACTCGCATGAAATTTTTATATTAGCGCCCGGGGACGAGGAAGTTTTAGTACCTATTTTTCAAGTTAGGTTTCACTGATATAAAACAGTTTGTGGTTATATATAGCAATGTAAATTTCAGTTTAGAACAGAATTTCCTGGAATACGTTATATAGCGACGTGTCCTTCTCTTGTTGCAAATCGTTCCTTTTACGTTATTGCTAACGACTGTGTTCATATTTATTTTGATTTAATTTTCCCATTTAATAATCCTCGCGGTCTTTTCAGTAACACAAAAACTTACTTAACAGTTACAAGGTTCAAAAAGAAGGCGTCGGATTACGTATTCTCTTGAGAGTAATTGCAATTCAACAAAGAATCTTTTTTCTCTATTCATATTTGAAAATCTTCCTAAAACACACCTTCTATATTGACAGGAAGAACACACTGTAGATATTAACATACAAAACACTGACTACCGCCTTTATAATCAGAGTGGCGAAATGTGCATGAGTGGCACCGTCAAACTTTCATTTTAACTTTGAAATGAGAATAACCCTTAGATGTGTTTGCGTCACACAATTTTCAATCCATCATAACATTACGTAAACGCAATGCAATGTAGGAAACATGTGGGTCAAATAAGTCATTGTCTGACAGTGAAGTGACGTAAGCACTTCTAAAGTCAATTGTGTCTTTGAAACAGTATAAATGTCTTTGAAATTTACGCACATTTTCGTCACGAAAGCATCAATACTATGAACGAAGCTTAACTTAATCAAACATGCATATTTATACACTATTATTATATAGACTGTGGTAAGATATAGTGCCTCAAAATTTTTGAATTAAAATTAAACGTTTTTCAAAGACGTTTACATTTTCACATGCACATAAGCTAATCGTCATAAGCTAATAAGCATGCTTTGTCTTTGATCGCAGAAACTTAAATACTGTGACCTAATCATAATCTGAGGACCAGATTGGAAAAAAGTTGTAATTAAGTGTTATTATTATTATTATTATCAACAACATACACACAAGACTTAAAGTTTGAATTCAATCATCTTTGAAGAGTCAGAAGAGGTTGCCATGGCACATTCTTCGAACAATTAATTTGTGATGCCAGAAAAGACCAAAATTGCTGGTTTTCTCACTGACGTATTCAACACTCAACGTGTTTCTAAATTAAAGCATAGATTTACGTATGTTCTTGAGAATAATTTGCATTTCAACAAAGAATTTTTTGCTTTTAATTTCTTCAAACTCATCCAGTTATAATTGACAGGAAGTACATACTATAGTGATGCGACAGGATGTTACATCATCATCACTCTCATTATATATTTCATGAGCGAATGTCTTAGGACATATTCCAAACTCTGTGATCTTTTGCAATTGCAAGCAGTATCGTTGTATTGAATTGAAATATGTCTTCCATTGTTACGAGTATTTTAAGCTCAACCGTAGGCTTGTTATGGAACAAAGCTCGGGACTCGACTGCGGCTAAACTGAAGGACGGCGATGTAACGGATGCAAAAATTCGGGAGCTCGTCGTGAGAGAGTTGAATGACATCAAGACGAAACTTGATGGTCTTTCCCGTGTAAATTTACTCAGCAGCTCCCGATTCCTGAAAGAAGGAGTGGATTTACTCTACGTTTCTCTTGATAAATCGAAGCTGGAGCCGAAAGCTGTGATGGACCCAACTCAACAAGACCGTGATGAAACATCAGGAATGTCGAGCGGTGTCGAGTCTGGGATCTTAAGCGAAGCCTTAGAACTTTCGCACGTCATGGGAGAGTTGAAAATTTACTCTGATAAGGAGTTTGAATCCGCTAAGGAGAGGTTTAAAGATGCCCGTAAGAGAGCAACTGATGCTTTCTGCAACGAGGCATTAAATATTAACGATAGAATCTTCGCGGCCAAACTACGTGTTGTTTCTGAGATACTGGAATGCCTCGATAGTCCTCAAACCGCCATCACAGGATGTCTGTCGTTTCTTCAAGATCTACATAGCTTACCAGCTATCCGTGACATGTTCTCTGTTTATCTCAATGGCGGTGTCAAGTCGTTGTTGGGTAAAGCAGAACGTGTAGAGAACATAAAATCTTTGATGCTGATAAACTATGTTTTGTTTAATCTTAATTTAAAATTCAGTCGCAAACTTACTGACAGGGTAACATGGCCTGGTGTAATTGAACTTACTGATCGCAGTTTTGACCCAATATTGGACTGGAAAGAGGTTTCAACAAAAAAATCTATGGACGATGAATTGGGTCAACCTCCCAAGCAGCTAATACTTGATGAAGCAATATTTCCACGATTATCGGCTGTGGACAGTCATGGGAATGTGGTTGTTGGAGAGCTTGGCGGAGATAACATCGGGTTGGTTGTTGGAGCCTGTGTGAGTGCCGGAAACATCACGGTCATTTCGAGAACTGCAGCAGAAAGCAAGGTGGTTAAATTACCTGATCCCAGCGAAGGTAAACCTATCGAGCAAGGTATCGTAGGACTCGCTGTTGATAAAAATAACAATGTTTATGTTGTTAGATGGGTTAAAACACGTACGGAAAATAGCGACGTGAAAAGTTACGTGCTGAATGTGCTGGATGAAAATCATAATGTGAAACACGATTGCATGTGTGATTTCCTTCAGGTTACATGTACACCCTTAGGTAATGTTCATTGGGTGAAGATCGCTATAAACAAAAACAATAATATCATCATGATCAAAGGCGATTATCTCTATGTCTGTGATAATGTTGGACAATTGAAACACATGTTTGAACCACACACCATTGGCGTAACCATGGGGTTTGCTATTTCAAATAAAGATGAAATCATGATATCATCACGTGATGACAAGGCTGTTCACTTCTACTCCGAGGAAGGAAATCTAAAGTCCACAATAGAACTGCCAGAAGGTCACAAGATCCGTGGGATGGCATTTCACTATGTCATTCGTAAAATAATTGTCTTAACTTATGCCCAGAGAAAAGATTCATATTTCCTTGTTAGTTACACTGAGACAGGCGAACCGGAGACCCCAACGTTCTTTTGCAAGCGTGATGACGCTGATTATTCTGGCCTCAAACCAGGCCTCAAACCGTTCATCACATCTCATCCATGTGGTCCTGTTGCTGTTGTGCGAGCGAAAAGCATCACCATTATTTAAGGAGATACTTTGCATTATGTATGACTAATAAATACGTCTTCATGCAGAAATCTGTACGACAATAATTCAACAATAGACGTTTTCCAGCACAAAATACAATGAGTGATTGGAGAACATGTGTAGCGGAGAGAATAATAATTAAACAAATTACTATATAGCAGTTTAGCTCTGCACCATCACCATACATGCACGTATATAATTTGGCAAAGCGTTTTACACCTAGCTTCAAAGAGTGTTGGCAGTTTAATTTGAGATTGATAATTTTGTATATCCTTTAGATTTAAGTAGAAATATGAATTGAAGTTTAAATGTGAAACGTTTAATTTATAATTAATTAGACAATGTAGATAGGTAATGATGTTTCTGATCAGTGTTACTCTGAGTGTACATCCACACCGGGCAAGCTGAAAAGTTTGTCTGACCACGGTGCGGGTAACATCAGGTCAGAGTAACAACTGGTCAGCTGAAGTAACATCAGAAACATCATATTCACCTGAGTACATAACCGATCAACACACACAAAAAATAGATAGGTAATATTAGTAGGCTTAGCACAACGTATGCTTTGGAATTGAACATAGATAATGTACATTTGTTAGTATACGTAATTTCAAACTAAGGTCTTTCATTTAAACTTTCAACTTAAATTTTGACTTTGCTTTTGTTTTCTTTATTGAACACTATATAGGTAGGTTTCAGTGAAGTATTTTATATTGTGCAGGGGCCAAACTTGAAGGGGGTATGGGGGGTGGGACCCCTCCCCCCCAAAAAAAACCCAAAAAAAAAACAATCGAATCATCTGGATTGGCAGGGCAAGCATCTGGATTGGCAGGGCAATCAAAGATTGTAAATGATAGAATGTAGAGTTATTAAGTAACTTACAGGGTTTTCAGAGGGAATTTGTGGAATTCATAGACCTAAATTTTACAGATATTGGTCCAAAAAAAGAATTTCACCCATGTTTTAACAGGAATTTGTACGGAAAAATTGTTTTGAACTTTAATTTAACTGGTTTATGTCCGGAACATTTTTTGACCATCCCCCCCCCCCCCCCCCCCGCCAACATTTTTGGGGAAAATATGGTCTCAGAAATAAAAATTTGCTGTAGGGCATCAACGGTTTTGGAAGGGCAATTCTGGCAGACACCCCCCTGATATTGTGTGACACATAGTGGTCAATTTCAAATGTATTGACAATTATGAGCTCGAGAGTGAAGTGAGGTTGAGCATGATATGAAGTTTATCAAAGCCGAATTTTGTGTTGTCAACGAAGCCGAAGGAAATGCGGAAGGGTTGGATTTAATAAGGGTGACAGTTACTACAAACATCTCCACCTTGTTCGGCAATGACGTTATTCTTTTAGTATATAATTAAAAGAGCCACGTTGCGAATTTAGATAATCACTGATGAAGATACTAGACTGGAATGTCGAAACGTTCGATCTAGATTGGAATTTCTTCGACTTCGAGGATTGCCTCATTGTTCTTACTGCAAGACGACGTCGTTGATCCCATCTTAGGTATTGATTTTGAGGAGGAATATTTTCAAGAAAAGTTTATGTTGGACTGAATCATAAGACATCGAGCCAATATAAAGGTATGGAAAACTAACCAATTTACATACCTTTGCTGACATTTGTAAAACCGTGTGAGTTGAGGAAGTCACTGTAGACATTTCAAGTTGTGGAACAGCGACGTTGTTCGTTGTTGCCATATCTTCCTCACCGTCACTTATTTCCGGCTCTTTGAGGCCTGCAAGATCCTAGCAATTTAGGCGCACATTTTATATAGTATAACTGCAAAATTGCTATTCAAAAAAGCAATTAATTACAATTATAATTACTGGCCTCAAAAGGTAATTAGTTTCCAATCACAATTACCTATTTTCCAAAGTAATTGATTACAATTACAAATTCACCTTCTCGGAAAGGTAATTAATTAAAGATTACATTTTGTAGTGTGGATCTTTAGAAATACTTCTCACAAAAAAGAAAATAAGCCATGTTTGATGACGGTAATTAGTTTTTGTTTCAATAATTGTCAACCAATATTGCCACCGGATGACGGAGAAAATTGTAAATCCGAATTCCGACGCGTGGAAGCACTGAGACAAGATGGCCATAAATGCAATCTTTGTTTTGCAAATTTCGAACGTTGTTTATATTTTCTTGATGATAAAAAACATTTATTCATTTCATAAAAAATTCAGTTTAGTACGAATGGAATATGTAATTTTCTCTACAAGGAACGCGTTTCATTGTATTGTAACTAATTCCATTTTCCCGTTACATTTGAAAAATGTAATTAATTACAGGTCAAAATTACAACATCTGTAACGAGTATCCTGTAACCGTTACAGTTGTGTATAGTGATATGTCGACATACACCTGATGCATTGCAACATCCCTGTGTGTGCAACATCCCTGTTTAAAATTTTCTTGAAGGAGCCCTACCCAGGAACGCATTTGATCAATCAGCTGCCACGTACAGAGATCTTACCTACCTGAAGCTTCACAAGACTGCTGTAGATCCCATCACGGGCCATCAGCTCATCATGATTGCCAGTTTCAGCAACTGATCCACGTTGCACCGACACAATTGTATCTGCGTTCTTTATAGTCGATAAACGATGAGCAATAATGATAGTCGTGCGGCCTTCTCCAGCCTAAAATAAAACCAAAGAGATTAAGAGAAGTAAATTGAATTTTAGTGTCTATGAGGTAGGTTATACGAAGGCTGTATAGCGTTAGCTATCCTCCGGATATTGGCTTTTTCAACCACTGTAATAATATTTGAAAAGCTGCAAAAGTACGGATATGGTCATCACAATTAATAAAAAGAAACTTTAATTTATAAATGAAATTGTTTAATCTGGTTTATAAAAGCAAAACAAACAGAATGACAACCAACATGCAAATAAGAACAAATAATCGACAACAACGAAACAAACAATTCTGACAACACAATCAAGCAATTCTGACAACACAAACAAGCAATTCTGACAACACAATTAAACAAACAATTCTGACAACACAAACAAGCAATTCTGACAACATAAACAAGCAATTCTGACAACACAATTAAACAAACAATTCTGAAAACACAAACAAGCAATTCTGACAACACAAACAAGCAATTCTGACAACACAATTAAACAAACAATTCTGACAACACAAACAAGCAATTCTGACAACACAAACAAGCAATTCTGACAACACAAACAAGCAATTCTGACAACACAATTAAACAAACAATTCTGACAACACAAACAAGCAATTCTGACAACACACACAAGCAATTCTGACAACACAAACAAACAATTCTGACAACACAAAATTTAAGTTACATCTAAAACACTGCGAATTTATAGGATGTCAGTGCCAATCTTGTATATAATCTCTCAGATTTATCTCTTATTAGTCTTGTTTACCTTTAATAACTTACTATTTATAATATACATATGCATTTATAGTAATATATTATGTCGTGTACTTTATGACTGGATAACCGCATCCTGTGTATTCGACTTTAAATAAATCATTACATTACAACAAACAATTCTGACAAACAAACAAACAATTCTGACAAACAAACAAACAATTCTGACAAACAATTCTGACAAACAAACAAGCAAACAAGCAAGCAAGCAAACAATAACAAATTTACAAAATCGAAACAAAGAAACAAACCGTCAATAAACAAACAAGCAACTGCAAGATTACAAACAAAACAAAACAAACGGAACAAGAATCTGGCAATAAACAGATGGACTGATCAGGACAACAAACGAGTGTGAACTATGATATCAAACAAATAAACAAGCAATCTTGATATTTATACTTACTTTGTTAAGAGCATCTTGCACAACAGCTTCGCTTTCCGTGTCAAGAGCTGACGTAGCTTCATCTAACAACAAAATTTTTGGATTTCTGACCAAAGCTCTTGCGATGGAAATTCGTTGCTTTTGCCCACCGCTCATTTGAGCACCACGTTCTCCGCAAAGAGTATCATATCCCTAAAATATATTTCATCAATACATTCATCATGTAACACAAAAGAGAACGAGACGCTCATATCAAACATGCATAGTGTACTTGTACCTATCGTTTTAGCAGATTACAAAGACTGTGACCGCGGAGTGAGTTTCGGAAGTGGGGGAGGAGGCACAGGAGTAAATGAAGCCTATTTTGGTCAGATTATTTTAACCTTATATATCAACCGGCTTTTATTCTATTACTCTGCGAAAAAGTGAGGGGCCATGGCCCCCTGGGGCTCCTAGCTCCCCCGTACTTGACAGAAAAATGCATTGATTATTCATTGGGGGATCTTCAGACGGGAAATAAACCACAAAAGTTGCATAAACACCTTTGGAAATTACCTTCGGAAACTGGGTAATAAAATCGTGAGCGTTTGCCATTTTAGCAGCCTCTTCAGTTTCATACCGAGTAACTCCCTCTCGCCCACAAGCTATGTTTTCGGCAATGGTGGTGGCAAATAACACGGGTTCTTGATTCACAACACCAATTAAACTCCGTAGATAACTGAGATTTAGTGTTTTAATGTCATTACCGTCAAGTTTTATCTATATTGGAATAAGACAAGTAAACATAATTCATCAATGATAATAGCTACAAAAATCGGAGCCAGAAGGTGGACTTTAGCAGCCAGGACGCTGACATATGTATTTTAAGGTATTTTTCCGCACTATCGCACTTATGGCATTTCATTATGCTTCACGTTATTGAGAAGTTTCGTTCATCCAATTAAGATAAAATCACATATCCTTGATCGTTTTCATATAACGATCTAAAGTCATTGCGATGATGGAAACAATTTCTATTCCAAAACAATGGGAAAAAGAAAAATGACAAACTCTTTAATATCCGAAAGTGTCCATGTTATTGATCAGAATAATTCTTGACCGTTTCATGCAGAACCATCCTCAGAGATACGAAAAAAGCGGCGGTCTAGATACCCGAAAATGCGCATTCAAATCCCGCTC